AGGAACTGCAACCTCCCCACTGCTGACCTCTCACAGGGCTGACGGTCTACACACACTACTCTTTTTTTTTTAACCCACACTACTCTTGCTGCTGACCAGTTTATGGGTTTGGACCATGTAGCCCAGGCTTGCCGCAGTCTCACGATCCTCAAACCTCTTCCTCCTGTGTGCCAGATGAATCTTGACAATGACATGTGACAGCCATGATGGCATACAGATTTTGGTCTTGCTCTAAACTCCCCAGTGCTCTGTGCTCTGCACATTCACCTCTCCTTCACCCCAGAAACAATTTTACAAAAGAACCTCTAAAATATGGGGTATATTTTCATCTGCTTGGTATTTTTTTATACAAAGTGTTCTCGGTATGTCATTTATAGTTCATATTCTTTTCATGTGAATATTTAGTTCACACCTACATATTAAAATCTGGGCAGTCAGAATTTCATAATTTATGTAGAAATTTTCCAAATCAATAATTTAAATGTGCTGTGAACTTGCTTCATAAAATATACAAGTATAAAAACTTCTGAGCCCTGCTCACAGACTCACTCAGCTGGGATGCTGGTTGTCTTCTCTTTAGACAACTTTACCATAACTCTAGGTCTTGGCTTAATCATCACCTTTGTAAAGAGACCCATTGCACTGTTTGGGTATTGACTGTCCCTTAAGGCCCCGAAGCAGTGCTATTGGGAAGGATCAAATCTGTATAAACTGGGACCAAGTACGAGGTCTTACATCATTGGGGCATATGATTGATGAGGACTGCAGGGAAGGGGGACTGCCTTCCTTCTTTCTCTCTTTGCTTCCTAGCCACTACGAGCTGGATAGATCCCTCTATCGTGCTCCCATTTGACTCCCACCATGGATAGATTCCTGTATTATGTGCTCCCACCACAGATAGATTCCTCTATCATGTTCTTCCATGTGATTCCCTAAGCACACGCCCCAAAGGAAGAAGGCTGATCAACCAAACTGAAACTCTAAGGCTCTGGGCAGAAAAATGAAGGTTTTCATCTTTCAAGTTGACTCTCTCGAGTATTTTGTCACAGTCGTGGGAAGATGATTGCCACATGTATTATCTTCGGCATCTCTAAAGGGTACCTTTAAATGCTTTAATTATTATTTCCTTCATTCCATGGCTACAAAGTGTAATTATTCCACTTAGCTCATTTGCTTGCCTGCCTTCCCCTCCCCACTAGAATCCAATAAGATGAGAACCCTCCCTGCCTCTGACAACAATCTGAATAGCCAACAGGGATTCCCCAAACTCCATGTCAAGAGTGAGTGCAGTGACTAAGAGTCACTTGGCCTCACTATGATTGTGAACACCCAGGCAAAGACACACACAACTCAATCAGGGGCAGAACTGTGAAGCACAAGCTGCCCAAAGTGGTTCCACCATCTCCGACAAAATGACCTGGGGGAACTCCACATGCCAGTTTGAGAAGCTGCTTGGCTGCCCTCCATTGACCCTTGGAAGGTTAGGGGTTTTATCTGCTCTTGATAAACCTTCAGTCTGGTAATGGGCCACTAGAGCCTGGGGCATGGTTCCTCTACTGCTTAGTGAACCCCATGCAGAGAGCAAAGAAAATGAACACATTATTCAAAAGTACACAGTTATTCTATATTTTCTGCCATTCAAGACAAAATGGAAAACATTTGGACCCCATGGTCTTCCACCAAAGGCACACAGGATAAGGAGGGTGTGGGCCCTGCATTTACAGCATCTTTACTGTGTTTTTTTATTACTTTTAAGACACATGCATTGGAGTTAAAGCAGAAGCCAATCTTGGGGACAAAATTGCCCCAGGTGTTTATTGTCACTGATCTGAGCAGGTTTACTGAGAGTAACTGCCTTGGGCAGCCTCTGTGTGAAACCTCAAGGAGACACTAGGTATCTTTAAACAAAAATACCGAACATTTTTAGGAATAGAAGCCTGTAAACCTGTAATTCTAGCATTTGAGAGGCTGAGCCAAGAGGACTGCAAATGGGAGGCCAGCCTGGCCTACACAGTCTAGGTCAGCTTGGAATACATAGTAAGACTGTATCTTTGAAAATCAGAACAAAAACTAACACAAATGAAAACAAAAAACAAACAAACCATAGTTTCTAAAGGAAAAGTGATTTTTTTTCCTAGCAAGATGGTTTGAGCACAGAACAATATGGCGTTTTGCTTTTGGATTACCCTCTGCTGCTGTGCTTTATCTGTGAGATTCTTAGCCTACATTAGTAGGGGAGGAGAGGTGCTCTCTGCACTCAGGTAGGATCTGCCACGGGGGCGACTTACGATTCCAGAATGGGGCAGTCTGCCAGTGGTTGTTGTCATGTGTGAAACAGGTGAGGCCAGGCAGGCTGCACTCCTCCCCCTTCCTCTGGCGTTTCTTTTCCTTCCTGGCCTTCTTCCTCCGACGGTTCTCCTTGAAGAGCTGCAGTTTGCTGTCCACCTCCTGAGCAGCCTCCCTACACCAAGACAAGGAACTGTTTTGATGACCAGAAAGGAGATTACCAAAAGTAGGATCATGTTCTGAGCCTTGCACAAGCGTGTACTCAGAGGTTGCACAGACACAGGAGCTCTGGTGACCTCCTTTTCTCATAGACGGCTTCAAATTTAGCTGGTGTCACAGAGACATCTTCACTCACTCAATGTCCCTAGGGTTTTTTTTAAGCCTGACAGTCACTTGTTGTTAAGCATTGATGGAAATAAGCTTTGGTATGAGTCAGTGCATATTCCCAGCCACAATCCTTGGGCAATGATGCGATCTTCCAGTAGCTCAGTATCTATCAGGCAGCCACAGAGTCAGTGAATGCTTAGCTGGATGGGAAGGCTTACAATAGGTGGATTAAAAACCATTCAGCAAATTTTACATAAGCTTTAAAAAATATGTATTATGTTTCTTCTTTAGGATATTTATTTTTGAGAACTCCAAATTCCACCCATGTATGTGAGATATGACCATATCTACCCGGTGCTTGTCCCTCCCCCCACTGAGTCTAATTAATGATGCCCATATGTGCAGGGGTGGGACCATCCACTGGAGCATGGACAACCTACCATCCTAAAGAAGAGTGGTTCTCCCTCCTCCGGCAGCTATCAACTGCCAATAGCTCCTCAAGGGCGGGCCTCATGAGCTCCACTCTCACCCACGCTAGCATTCTAGCTGGCTTGATCTCATGCCCGTAATCATCAGTGCTATGAATGAGTTCATGAGTGCCATAGCAATGCCATGTTCAAAAGACAGTATTTTACAATGCTTTTCCTCGTCTTCCAACAGATATATTTTTGACTTCCTTGGCAGGTGTTTTTGCTTTTGTTTTTCCACATAATTTAAATTTTGTCAATATTCAAATACAAAATCTCTTGCACCTACAACTTCATGATTCCTTATATTTTGAGAGGTCAGCACTATTACGGGTTACTCTTGCTGAACACCCTAATTTAGTCAAGGGTCTGCTAAATATTCACTGATCCTCATAGAGGAGACCATGTATGGAGGAGAATCCCCTGTGCAACACAGGGATCCCTCCAGTCACCATGGATAGTCCCTGACTCCTGGTAAACATGACAAACATGAAGTTACTCACTTGAAAGGGTGAAGATGGTTTTTTAACTTCTCTTGCCTTTTTACACCTTTCTCTTTGTTGTAATAGCTGCAGGTCAGAAGATTAAAAAGTGAGTCTCATGTTCATACACACACACACACACACACACACACACACACACACACACACACCCTTTCATTTGATTAAATGGCACACCACACACCACACCACAAACACACACACACACACACACACACACACACACACACACACCAGGAAGTTATTCTTTTGTCACTGTTTCAGTTTAGTGGGTCTTGTTTGTATCCTTTGTTTAAGTGAATGACACATTTAATTTGACTTAAGTGGGTGAGGACAATATGCCTTATGGCAATGGATTCATGTTCAGCATTAATGAATGAGAAGCCAGCCTCCAGCTAATCACTCTGGCTCATTTGGGTTAGAAAATGACCCTGGGATGCATGCTCACCTCTGCTTACCACAGCTACACTCCTCAGGCTTCCGTTTCTTGAGGTGTCCCCTTACTTCTCTTAAATTCTTAATTTTATCTTGAAGAACTTCAATCTGGAAAACACACATTCACACAATTACCTTCTAAGATCAGGATTTTTCTTTACAAAATATAGTGACCTTGTTTGCTGGATTCCACAATTATAACTATTCCAGAGAACATCTGGGATGAGCCAGTCATAGAACACATTTATATTCCATCTATATTCTAATCACTATGCCACAGAAACATTATCATATATCTCCTTATAACTGAATAGTTTTCTCAAACATATGCAAAAGACTATCGGGTTCATCCCTGTTTTTCCCACACTTGCTTTCAGTAGGAGGAAGATAAACGCCTTGGTGGATTTCCCAGTTTTTAGTCAATTACAAAAATGAGGTTATGCACACACGAAATGTCCCCCATCTCACAGCAGGACTAAGCTGAGAACATAGACACGTGGATGCTTACTGAACACACAGCCACACGGATTGCTCTTTGTTTGCGATGCTGGGCTGGAATTAAGGTCCTTCCTTACTGCAATAAAGCTCTCTATCACCAAACTCTACCCCAGCCCCAACACTGACCTCTTTATCAATGTAGGCCTTATGGTCCTTCCATGCTCTGGCTGATTGGTACAGCTCTCTCTCACAATGGATTGTATCGTTTGGAAGAATGAAGCATCTGAACATGAAACAGGACCAAGAGAAACAGGCTTATGGTCAGAAAACACTAACACTAGCAATAGCAAAGAGAACTCGGCACCTTCCACCCTGTTTGTGTAGATAAAAGCACTGACCTTAGAGCTGATTCCTGCACAAGGGAAAATGAGAATGCATCCTGGCCAGTGGCCACATGAGGGACGGGGTCACTGCTTGTAACTAGGTCATTTCCAAGAACATCTTATTGCAGCTTTTCACATTCATCCTCCCTTGAATAGGCTCCATTCCCCAGCTCAAGCTTTTAAAGCACAGGAGCGTGCGTATGTTTGTGTGTGTGTGTGTGTGTGTGTGTGTGTGTGTGTGTGTGTGTGTGTGTGTGTGTGTATGCTTTCAGAGTCACAGAGGAAAATGGTCTCGGAAGAAGCATATCATTCCATTTTTGCCTTTAAAAACACACCTCAAGTACTCCACTTACATTCCCATGTTTTCCCATGCTGAGGCTCTAAAGGCTCTAACCTGGGGTCTCTGTTTGGACAAGCACTTTACACTGTCCTGAACAAGACCCCCAGCTTCTCCATTCAGTCTTTTCTTTTAAGATAGCTTCATGTATCCTAGGTTGGATTTGAATTTCTGATCCTGCTCAAGCCCTGAGGGTTGGGATCATAACCACGCTCCTCCAAGCCTAGTTTACCTGGGGCTGGAATCAACTCCAGACCCTAGGGCTTATGTTACTGGCTATTTGTTTTTATTTTGTGTATAGAGGTGTTTTGTCTGTCTGTATGTCTGTGGGCCAGGTGTATGTAGAATCCGTGGGAGCCAGAGTGGGTGTTGGATCCCCTGATATGGGGGTTATAGACAGCTGTGACCCGCTATGTGTGTTCTGGGTACCAAACTTTTATGTTTCAGAAGACCTGCCAGAGTTCTTAAGCTTTGAGCCCACTATCCAGCTCCAAGACCAGAGCATCTTGCCAGCCTGGTAAACAGTCAGTCAACAGAGCTATGTCCCTAGTCCCACCCATTAAGTTTTGAAACAAAGTGACAACCCAAGGATAGAAAGGGGTAGATATGGGGGGTGATGACTCTAAAAAATATAAATTCTGGGTGAGCTCATCCTGCTCCATGGTACTTCATGGTGATTGCATGGGGTGTGAGGTAATATTGACTTCCACCCTGGGCACTACAAAAGCAGACTCACTTGTGTGTCACACGGACAGTGGTGGGCAGCCCCACTGCATTATTGCTGTCTGCCAGCATCTCATTCCCGATGTCACCAGCAACAGCCTGGTGGCCTCCCAACCCCTGGTGGCCCTCATCATGGCGCTTAGCAATGCTCCTTGGTGGTAACACTTGCAATTCTTCTTCTTCCAGATTTATGTCGTATATTTCACCTTCAAATTCAACAGACAGGGACCGAGTCTGCCGGGTGTGCACAAATCTGGGCTTATACTCTGGAATGAGAGGAAAAGCAATTAATACAGATGAACTGGTGCATGTGGGTGAGAGAACAGTATCACCTGGGGGTCTTAGAGAGGGACAGCAGTGCCCACTACATTGCTACAGGGTGTCTTGGTCCTGGAATAGTTCCTGAAATTACAGGGACAAAAGAAAGCTCTTTACTGGTTGTGTCCCGTTACAGATGTCATGCTCCTCTGGCCTTGGGCCCTTCCCCCATCAAGGGGGTTAGCAGGCTATGCACTTTCACATTTAGTTTTCAACATCATTGTTGCTATCATTCACATTTTTGGAAGATGGAACTGAAGCCTTGTGGTGTTCATACCTTTCCTTGGGTTCCAGGGCCTGGATGTGCTGTGTGAGGTTACAGCCTCACCACTGCCTTCGGCTGCCTTTTCAAAAAGATGAACACTCTGAACGCCTCATGTTTACACAAGTACAGAGGAACACTCTAAAAATGTTAAATTTGTGCATGCTTGCATTGGCCATGTAACATTTTAAACACACAAGGTGAGGAGTAAAGCCATCTGTGCATCGTGACTATGGGACTTTACCTAGTGCTTACTGGGTCCTGGATGAGAGTTATCACGTGTAAGCTCTGACCTCTGTTTACACACTTGGGCTTTGGGAGGCACACTCCTCTGATCTTCTCTAAGTAAGAAAGAAGCCTGGCAGAGATGGGGGCATGGGACTTGTCAGCCTCCCTCTCTGGGAGACAGCTTCCTACAGGACCCTGTAGTTTCCAGATGAGGAATGACTTGCATTGCCCTCACACCAGAAAAAGAGGAACCCACACCTGTTCTAGGGCACACACGATTCCACACAGTGAAAACTAGCTGGAAAGGGGAGAGTGTTCCTGCTAATAAGTGGGATGTTTGTATCAGAGTGGTTGTGTCAGCTGTGATAGTCTTGTGTCGTTTAAATGTGATCAGTTTCCTTCCAGGAAGAAAGACAATCCCATAACTCAGTGGGTTTGGGGGGAGTGGCTTTTGAGACAGGGTTTCTCTGTGTAGCTCTGGCTGCCCTGGAACTCACTCTGTAGACCAGGTTGGCCTCAAACTCACAAGGATCCACCTGCCTCTGCCTCCCGGGTACTGGGATTAAAGCTATGTGCCACCACCACCCTGTAACTCAGTTGTTCTTAACTTTTCTAGTTTTGAACCACTTTAAGAATTTGTGGGGGAAAGAAAGAATTTGTGGAAATTGAATAGCAGCCAATTTTGGACACAAATCAGGTATTTATGATCCTAAAGTCCATTCTGTTCAGCACAAAAATGTCCTAGGATTTTCTTGACAATTTTTGTCCAATTCTTGGACGCAGGTTTTTTTCTCCCATGACTATAAAAGTAAATGCATACACATACTTATTCTTTACCCCTTCTTTTTTTTCATTTTTTAAAAAAATTTTTTATTTCAGTTTAAATTCCAACCACAGTTCTCCTTCCCACCCCTCATCCTGTTCCCTCCACCTCCTCCCACCCCACTCACCTACCCCCTAGCCCACCCAGTCCACTCCTCACGGGTAAGGGCTCCCATGAGGAGTCAACAGAGTCTGGAACAATAGATTGGGGAAGGGCCACACCCTCTCCCATGCTTTAAGGCTGAGCATGCATCCCACTATGGGGAGTGGGCTCCAAAAATCTACAGAGACAGCTGAACCAAGCTCATGGAAACTCATGAACTCTAGACCTACAACTGTGGAGACTCCAGGGAACCGAACTAGGCCCTCCATATGTGGGAGACAGTAGTGAAGCTTGGACTAGCTGAGGGGACCCTGGCAGTAGGACCTCCATACAAGCCTGGTACATGAACTAGCTTGTTGGAGCTCATTCCTTAGGGTGGGATGCCATGCCATGCTCAGTGGCAATTGGACACAGTTTTAAAGAGAACTTGTTTCCTAACACAGAAAAGTCACCACAGATTTGAGCCATTTTTCACATGGGCCATTAGGTGGCACTAGACTCTCACTCTTCAGTGGATTGCTAGCCCGGTTTTGTTTTGTTTTGTTTTCTGTAAGTCTATAAGCTCACGTGTCAATCAGTTACCTGGGAGTTTTTATGAAGGAAATTGTTGGCAGTAAGTGTATGCCATACTGACTTCAACTAATTTGATCCTACTTACTAGTCGGTATGATAGAACCATTTGGCAATATTCAAATCTACTTAGTCTAAAACATGAAAAACATGCCTTTAATAACATGTCTTTCTTCTTAGGTTAAACACACATGAACTGATACCTGAAGTTTAATTTTTAAAGCAACTTAAGGCAGACAGATATATCAGAGCATTTCCATGAAGGTCAAGTAAAATGGATCTAAACCACCCACATGGGTCCCACAGAATATCCACCTAAGCACTTGAATTTCTGATGCTCTGTCCCCTGAGAAGACTTTCATTCTACGCTAAGTGGAAATATTTACAAAGCAAAATTTCTAAGTCGTCTTTGCTATCTTACTTTAAACTGAACAATGAATGATCTTGCTTTTATTCTGAAATCTAGGCACCAAAATATCTGGATTGTGTTGGGGTGGGGGAGGGGTGTGTCACTAGAGCATGCGCCTGCCACAAGGCATGGCTTACTTGGTGTTCCTTGGTTCCTCAGGAACTGCCTTTGATTCTTTCTCTGGCTTCTGCTGGAGCGATAAGCAGACTCCCTACAATGGCACTCTTTGTCTTTGTCGTGCAAGCCTCGAGAATAGAGGTTGCGTGTGCTCTGGCGGAGAAGCTTGCCGGATGTGTCCTCAATGCACTGCCACTTCTGCAAAAGCCAGCGGGAAGCAGTTGGTGAGGTTGAGCCAGGTGGTATTTATTAAGTACTCTAGCACTAGTTAGTTTTGTTTTTTCCCCCCCTCCCTCACTGGCAATACCATTAAGGAGTATGAATGAAAAGGGACACACTTTTTAGTGAGCCTGCAGTAACTCTGCCCCCGGTTCTATTTCTTTTGTGGCAGGCACATACAGATGATAATGAAATCATTGGAAATCAGACCTGCCTCAATGACACTAGAGCTGAAAGCTGATAAATGAATCCTCAGCACCCAGACTAAACAGTCTTGAATGAAACATGTTAAAGCCCTTAGTGTCCCAAGACACAGAGCCAGCTGCCAGTGCTGTTTCCACCAGGACCCCACACCGCCCCATTTGTTCTGGAAAAACAAACTTGCTTGCTTTGTTCTCTGCCTCCGGATTTCTAAAGTGATCCTGGGCAGAGTGGCACATGAGGAAGACAGAGAGGAATTTAATTTGAGGCCCTGACTCGGGGTGTTCTAGACCTTGGCAAACTTGTCAGTCTTTCTTTTGGTTTTCCTTATTCTCAAACCCTGCATGCATACATTATGCAGTGCACCCCAGGGCGATGGAGTCCACCTTCCCAGAGAAATGCAAACAGGAGGTCACACTGGGACTCCTAGTTCCGGTTTTGTATGGAGCTGTGAGAATGCCACAGGGTCCATTTCTGAAGCACCTTTCTAATTCTGATGTCTCTTCACTCTGCCGGGACCCCAGGAGTTCTTCCCCATGTGAAAGTCCCAATAATGTCTCTACTTTTAATTTTCTTTCCTACAACCCCCCAGAGTGGGTTAGTTGGGAGTAGGGAGAACGCTGGCCTTCATTGGCAGTTGATTGTAACAGTTCAACAGAGTGAGTATTGGTACACATCAATACTGTTAAATGTATCCTTCTGTCCCGCCCACATACAAGCACAACCTGTGTGCTGCTATGTATTTGTCAATGCACAGTTTCTCAGCTGTGGTCAGTGCCATCTACTTGTGTTCTAAAACCATGCTGTGTCACACATATTGTCAAATGTCTTAAAGTTAGTTGTGTCTATAAAGCATACCCACTCAAGCGTCATCTATGGGGATCGTGTATCTTTCACGAAACTCTGGTAAGCCAACACTTTTGGGAGGTGTCACCAAAGCAAAGTCTTTAATGCATAAAAACTACAGTTTGGCCAAGGGACTTGATGGCTTTGTCAGCAGATCAATGAAATGTGTCTAAAATGCTACACAAGCCTCCACAGTGAACAGGCTTTACAGTCACCATTCATTTTCCATCAAGGGAGTCGTATGTCTTTGGTACATGTTTAATTATTAGCACTGCACTGAGGCTTCTACCGCAAGCCCCAAGTATCTCAAGCTCATTCTATGGTTCCACGTCAGCCCTCTCCACACTCCTGGCTACCAGATGATTATGTCAAATCATGTTAGGGTTGTGAATGCCTTGAAGGTTCCATATCTTCACCCAGAAAAGTAGGCTGCCTAGGAGAATTCAAATACCTACCAAGTAAGCCATGGAACGGCAACACAAACCACAACAGTATAAGGACTAAGCTGCTGAAGATTTAACTTAAAATATGTGAACTAGGAGCTGGAGAGATGGCTCTGTGACAAAGAGAACTTTCTGCTCTTCTAGAAACCCAGGTTCAGCTCCCAGCACCCACATCAGCCAGCTCACTTCCACCTGCATCTCCAGTTCCTGGGAATCCAACACTCTCTGTCCTCCTTAAGCACCAGGCACACATGTGGTGCACACAGACGTGCATAGGCACAATACATACACAAAAATAAACTGACAAATCTTTTTTTTTTTGACAAAACCTATGTGGAAAGCTTATTGGGGAAGGAAAGGGAGAGAGAAAAAAGAAAAAGAGAGGGAGAGAAAGAGAGACAGAGACAGAGAAAGAACAAATCTAAAAAAAAAAAAATGAAGTCAGCTGATCCCATCCTGGTAGCTGATGCCTGTGATCTCAGCCCTCAAGTAGTGGAGGCAGGAGGATTTTGTAGGTCTGGGGGCAGCCTGGATTGTAAGACTCTGGCTCAAACAAACTATGAAAATATGAAATAAATTTGTTTTGGTCCAAAGGAGCCAGGTCATACGAGTGAGTCCGAACTTAGACTGGATGCTGGCAGCTGCAACAACTCCTAATTGATTCAAATGTGTCATTCTTGGACCTCTTTGCAGCTGGAATCCATGGCAGAGGCAAAAGAAAAATATTTAAGTCTCAGGAGCTCAGGTGCTTGAGTCTTTGAGAAGGATACAAATATTTGGGTAGTGTTGTGTGCAAGGCAAGATGTGTCTAAAAATGTGCAGATGTAATTGTTTCAAAAATGGTTCCAGCAGGACAAAAACTACAGACCAGCACTTCTGTGAGTCAGGATTTGTGCTCTCTTTAAAAGTAACCAGCTTGCCTAACTTCCTCTTCAGTAAATGGACAAGTGATTGAAGTTTAGCTTCAGAGTCCACACCAAATAAAACGGAACCACCAATTTCCAGGCAGGTTCTATGGCACTCAGAGAAGTGACCACCAAACTTGAGAATCCCAAACCTGAAAGAAGCTCTGGGTGAGACCCAGAACAAGCTCTCAGAAGGTGAAAGACATCTTCACTAAGAAATAACTGTATATCATATAGAATTCTTCTTGTTGGTAAGTACTGCCAAAAGAAATAACATTTTGTAGTTTGAAAATTTGGGGGAGGTCATTTAGTGTGTCTACATATGTCTGTTTCTGTCTTAAATCCAAATGGCTTGCAATGCAGCCACACACCTGGATAATCTCCACAGCCAGCATTTGCAAAGCCTAAGGCGAAGAGAAGCAGAAGGAGTGGGCAGAGACTCCTTTCACAGCCAAGTGTAAGCCTGAACCCTCCAGTAAGGGCCACAAAGAAAAATGAAAATGGATAATTTCATTCCTAAAAGGCAAGGTCTTTCTGTGGTTCCAATTCACATCATCTCTGCCACAATCAAGGCCTGTCTGTGGTTCCAATTCACAGCATCTCTGCTATAAACAGAAATCACTTCTGAGACTTGGTCTCAGCTCCTGGACTCAAGTGATGCTCCTGCCTCAGCCTCCTGTAACCAGGGCTGCTGGTGTGTACCGCCACGCCTGACCACATAGTTACTGCTGAATCCCAGGACTTCGTTGCAAACTCTCTGAACATTCTGGGGCACAGCACATTAAAGGTTTTTTGTCTTGTCTTTTTCTCTCTGGCTTAGAGGAGCTGATGGTACAAGTAGATTCTTGTAGAACACAAAGGTGTGTGTAGCATTTCCAGTGACTGCCTATTTGGAATCTAACCCATATTGCCATCAGCCAAATTCCTAGTGGATTTCCTGTGAAAAAAGGAAGGGGAGATCCTTCCAGAGGAGTGCATTTAAGAATCTTGGTGTCTGGTACTGTCTCTGGAGCGGACAATGTTTCACATGAGATCAAATACACATACACATCTGCATGTGTGAATCATCATACATGAGTTCACACACACACACACACACACACACACACACACACACACACTTGGATAAGGCAATATCCATTGACAGAAGTGTCAATTATCTCTTCTACCTTGGACCTCTGGAAGAAGGCACAGACCCTTCTGTATAGCATAATTAGTATATTGTATTTAGCTAGAGGCTTAGGCAATCTTCCCAAGGTAAGCATACCAGGAATTTCAATGAAACAAAATTACCACTTCGGTGCCTCTTATCTTGACATTTTTTTTATGACTGTACAATAAAACCTTAAAACAGCTGCTACTAAAATGGCAGCTTCACTGGGAGAGTTATAGGTGGAAACACAGACAGGGAACTTTTAAACGAATTATTCATAAATTAAAACCACAAGCTTTTCAGTGGTGGAAATAGGAGAAGCATTTGCCTCTCAGCTCATCTGTGAGGTTCACCTTGAATTGGGCTGAGACACCTGCTGATGGGAAGTGAAGTCAGCTGTGTTCGTTCGACATGCATCCTGCAGGAACATGGCTGTCCCTGCCAAGCTCTGATCCAATCCCGAGGGTCCTGAGTAGAGCAGCTAGCTCATCACTCTATCCACCTGTCTGCATCCAGCCACTCATTCCTCCCACAGCTCTCTTCCCTGCTTTCTGGAATTATTCCGTTTCATTTCCCATTCTGCTTTCTGATTTATAAATTTGTGTCCATAATTTTTCATATATTCCTCCCTCAACAGTTATAGGTACAGTCAGCAAGGTGCTGGATAAAATTATTTGTTGAATCTCTTCTGTTGTTTTTAGCCTTTCCAACTACACTGACTTGGAACTGGGGGCTAAGGACCATGTGTCATGTTCTCAAACGGCCCCCCAAAGTTATCTCAGTAGAGTATTGCTGATTTTGGTAGTCAAGAGGACTGGTTTTGGTCGTTTCCACCTGCCTGTGTATAAATAACACCAACAAAGAAGACAGGGCTGGTTCTTTTCTTATGCACAGAGCCCAAGAATATCACATGTAGGTAGACTTGTATAGAATCGAGACAAATGAGAAAAAACATCCCATACCTTTTGCAAACATTTTCATTCATTACCATTTTTACTTCTACCATCAACACTACTGAAATTTTCAAACTCAATGTTGGGAATAGAAGGACCATATAAATATCTCTGTCTAAACTATGACTTAGTTCAAACCCTTGTAAAAATTTTCTCACAAACATGAACTTGAGTTTTGCCAAGGAGATTTAACTCCTGTTTTCTTGAGATGAGATGGGATAGATGGGGGAAGGGCAGAGGTAGAAAGAAAGAAGAAACAGAAAAGAGAAATTTTATTCTGGACAAGCATCTTCATAAGGCAATGCTGAATGTGGGGAAAAGTATGGTTCTAGCACTTCAGGTCAGGCAGGAGAGTGGACAGACCAATAGGCAATTTTTTTTGTGTGTGTGAAGTGCTTTCCATGGTCCATTAATCCAGGTGCCCGATTACACATAAATCCATGTAACTGTATAGTAACATCTGTGGTCCACACTGGTGTGTCCATACAAGAGATGAAGAACCTGACACAGTACAGTTAAGTAACTTGCCCAAAGGCATATAGACAGCAGTGCAATCCCAAGGTTTCTGGATCATGACTGTAAGAGGCATATTGGCTTGGTGTAGGTAAAGACCTTCAGGTGGGCAGTGCGTGAGGGGAGAGCACTTGGGAAGGCAGAGGCAACAACTTACAAGCAGTTGAGAAAGACAGGTGAAGAGGTTTCAAGGCTAGGCTATCCGGGTGTGATGGGATGTGATGGATATTGTATACATTAGTCAGGGTAGGGCCACCTGACACTGATTATGAATTTTATGAAATTAACCAGGGTTCAGGGGCTTCCTGGCAATAAACTGTTCATTTCTGGCAAACTAACAAATCCAGGCAAATATTATTGGTAAATGACCTTTTATTCACGCCCAACAGGCGGCCACAGTGTGAGAGGGACAGGCAGGCAGAAGAGGGAGCACTGCATGAGAACCTGGGCTTTAGAGTAGAGCAGTTATGTACTCAGTAACTACACCCCAGGTTCCTCTCAGTCCTAGCAGCTGTCTGGATGTTGGGGCCTTGGAGAGTTTTTAGAAAATCCCTGACTTCACAGACATAAAACAGTGGAAAGGCAAACTGAATTGTAAAGATGCTGAGATCTAACAACTCAGTGAAAGGGCATGAGATTTGCTCCTTGAAAATCAGCAACAGCTGCTTCCCCCCCCCCCCCCCCCCCCCTCCC